TTTACTTCATGGAAAAGAATATAAGTGACTTTTATATTTCTCTTTGCTATCAGAATGATTTAATTAGAATTTGAGTTTTTAGTTACTGAAATGCTTGGCAAAATTCCCTTACAGAAACTTTAGGAACTGGAAAGTCTCTGTTTGAGGTGGTAGCCCTTTGATAATTATTTTTATTTCTTTCATTTTAACTGCTCTGTTTAGATTTTCTAGGTCTTCTGTAATTTTTCCCAATAAATTGTTTATTTTGGAGTAATTTTAGATTTACAGAAAAGTTGCAAAGATAGTACAGAGTTCTCATATGCCCTCACCCAGTTTCCCCTAATGTCAACATCTTACATAACCGTGGCACATTTTATAAAACTAAGGGATTAATATTGGTACAATTTTATTAAGTAAACTATAGATTTTATTTGGATTTCACCCATTTTCCCATCAACGTCCTTCTCCTATTCCGTGATCCAATCCAGAACCCCACATTGCATTTAGTCATCATGTCTCCTTAATTTCCTCTGATCTGTAACTGTTTTCTAATATTTCCTTGACAGTTTCGAAGAGTACTGATGAGGTATTTTGTAGAATGTCCCTGAATTTGCATTTATCTGCTTTTCTCATGATGAGGCTGGGAATATAGGATTTTGAAAAGAATATCACAGAAGGGAAGTGCCCTTATCAGGAGAAAGTATCAGATTTTGAATTTATTCATTAGTCCTACTATTTTTCTCCTATCAAATTTAGGAATTCACCTGCATCTTTCTGTATGCCTTGTTTTCTTCTGCCTTCTTTGGATTTATTTTGTTTTCCTCTTTCTAACTTCTTATTTTGGATAATTGATTCAATTATTTTCATTCTTTCTGGTCTATTATTCTAGGTATTTAAGGTTATGTATTTTTCTCTGTGCATCATTTTGGCTGTAAGCTATAGGTTCTGATATGTAGTGTTGTCAATATTCTGTATTTTTAAAATTAATTTCCTCTTTGACTCAAGCATTATTTAAAATAAGAGAGATGGCAAATGATAGGTTGTTTTTTATTTGTTCCATAAGTTCATTATTACTTTCTAATTCTTTTGCATTGAATATGTCTCTCTCACACACACACATACACCTATATACAAACACTTACCTTTGTCCTTACTTTGTCTTAAAGTCTTACATCTTTTATGACTCCTTGATTTCATGTTGACAGAGATGAATTAAAGTCTTGTAGTACTAATGCTGCAAAAAAGTATTTTTTATTAGTACATAATCCAGTAACTTTCCTATAGTTTTGCTTTGCTTTATCAGTTTTGATGCTACTATGTTTATGCGGTATGTAGATCATATTAATTTTCTATTGCTGTGTAACAAATTACCACAAACTCAATGGCTTAAAAAAACCATCCACTTATAATTTGACAGTTTCTGTAGGTCAGAAGGTCAGGCTCTGCTTAGGGGCTCACATGGCTGGAATTGAGATATCAGCCGGGATGGACTCTCATTTGAGGTTTGGGATACTCTTCCAAGGTCATTTAGGTTGTTGGCAGAATTCAGTTCCTTGAAGCTCCAAGACTGAGGGCTCTGTTCTCCTGCTGGCTGTGCCTGAGGGAATCTCTCAGCTCCTAGCACCTGTCTGCAGTTCATTATCACATGGCCCCTCCACAGGCCTTCTCACACTGCCGGTATCTGACTCCCTCCCGTCTGCGACCTCAAGACCCAGACTGCAAGGGCTTGAGTGATTACAGCAGGCCCACTTCGATAGCATCCCTTTTGATTAACTCAAAGTCAGCTGACTGGTAACCTTAATTACATCCATGAAATCCCTGTTGCCATATTATGCAAAGTAATCACATCCCAGGATACTCGGAGCTTCAGCCCATCTCCTCCCGTAAATTTTCAGCTTCAAGGGGAGGGATTTATACTGAGACAGAAATATCGAGGGACATCTTACAATTCTTCTTACCACGTAGATTTTTATAATTATTTTGTCTTCATTATGGATTATAAGCTTTCTCATTATGTGATGCTTTAAAAAAATCATATTTAAAGCTTTAAAATTCAAAGGCTGGATTCAAGGTTGTCTGAATGAAGATCCTAACTCTTCATTTGTTATTACTGTTGTTGTCTACATTTTCCTGGTCTGCTTTTTTTCCATCTTTTCATTTACAACCATTTTGAGATATTTTGTTTTATAAATATCTCTAGTATGTAGCATATTGCTGGGTTTTCTTGGTAATTTAACCAGACTCTTTTCTCCTTATAGGTGAGTTCAACCCATTTTGACTTATTGACTTAGATTTTGGTTTCAGTTTTGTCTTATATTTTATGTTATGCTTTTGTTGTTGTTGTTGCTATTTTTAAATCTTTTAGTCTTTGGTATTTTTTCCCCTTACCTTTTCTGTGTGTGTGATGTGGTGTGTTTGTGTGTTTCTTCAATGTGGAAGTTTTATATTCCTGTCATGATTATGGTTAAGACTACTATACCTGTTTGTAATATATTTATTCCTCAAAACATTAGATTGATCTGTTGATTCCCAGCTGTAAGCAAAGATGGAATTTCTTATTTCTGTTTCCTCCCGTTCCTTGTTCCCGTATGATTTTAGTTGATTAAATTACTTAGTGGAACCTTTATGTATTTTTGTTTATATTACTTATTAACTCAAGTTTTAATAATGAAGAAATCGATTTATTTATATTACTTTCCCCTTTATTTCTTAATTTTTTAGTGCTATTAGTTATATAATTTCTATACTTTCAAGGTTTATAATATTTCCATTCAGTTCTGTAACAATAATCTCCACTTTCTGTGAGGTCTTAGCCCTTCATTTAAATAGATTTCAAGCACACTGCCGTGCCTTTTGCATTCATCCCTCATGGGGCTAAAGTTCATTTTCTATTAGTCTATTTAGGAAGGAAATCACATTCCTTGAGTTCTTTCATATTGAAAAATGTTTGTTACACACACTCATATTGAGTTAAAGTTTGGCTAGGGATAACATTCTTGGGCACAATGTTTTCCTCAAGGATTTTATAGGCACTGCTCCATTGTCACCTAGCGTTGCTGTGGAAAAGGCTAAGCTGGGCTGGAGTTTTTCTTCTCCTATGTAGGTTAATTGAACATTTTTCCTTTTCCTGGATTTTGAAAGCATTCCCTGTTTCTCTTTGAGAATCAGTAACTTTACTGGGATACAGCTCACCATTGATTGTCCTGAGTCAAATATTCTGGGGCCATAGTCTGCTTTTCAGTCTATATGTTCACGAAAAGTCGTATTAAAATTTTTATCTAAATATTTTCTTCTCTTCTATGATTTTGGTTCTCTTCTCTGATGATACTAATTATGCTTATCTTTGATCTCTTTTTTCTAGCTTACCTCAATCTTGTCCTTCATGCTCCTTATCATCTTTTCAGTAAAGTTTATTTTCTTTGTGCTGCTTCCAACATGGTCCCTGTTATTGTGAGAATAGTTTTTATCCTCCACTTCTTTCCTGAGCTGCACTCTTTTTCCCTAAATTCTTATATCTGCATTTTGAGATCACATTTTATAGATAAAATGGCTTCATTAAATTATAAAATTTTTTTCATCTGCTTTGTGATGATATTTTTCTAGAATTATTTAACTTCACTGATTTTTATATTACTTTCCTGCTTTCTTTCTTGTAAAGTCTTTGTTTACATCCTCTATTGATTCCTTTTTAATTATTATTCAGTATTGAATGAAATGAGGTACTCTCGGATCAAATGTTTGCTAAACTTTCACTTGAAGGAATTCTCCTCTTGAACCAGAATTGTGGTGTAAATTTGCTCTTTTAGCCTTATTTTCCCCCAGCTCTTTGATCCTGCAGCTTCAGAGCCACTGTGGAATTTATCTCCTCATCCTCACCCACCTGCAACAATGGCTTGTCTTTGTGATTTCTTGTTCAGTTCAACCTCACTAGCATATCCTTGGTCCAAAACCAAAACCAAAGAAGATGCTTCAGTGTACACGTTCCATTCCTATTTCTCTGTCTAAGCCTTTCACTTTGTTTTCCTCATGCTTCCATCACACAAGAAAAACATCAGTCAGCTACTCAGGGAGGAAGCTCTGGATCCAAATATATGATCAATAGCTTCCTTTCAAAGATGTCATATTTACTCACAATTCAGTTCTGATTTGATTACTGGAGTATTTTCAAACATTCCATATTTTACTAAATGTATAGTACTAGTCTACCCTATCAAAGGCTTTGCTTTAGTAAATATTTGCTCTTTAAAAATCTCACAGGATTAGATATATACATAAGGAAATTTTAGAACAGATCTAGAATTTTCCCCATGGCACAATTTTTGCTATTCTATGTTTTTATGTGTGTATGATTTATTTTAATAAATAATTGAGACCTACATTTATAAACTGATGTTTAAACTATTTGGTCTCACGAACTTTTCACCACCTCCTAAAGTTTTCTATTTCCTGACTCGGGTGAAACCCAGCTTCACTGAGAAAAATGAAATGTTTTCTGGAGGGGAGTTCAGTTTTAGAGCTTGAGTGCTTGGGGTGAGACCAAACTTTTGTGGTGCCAATTTATGTGTAGTTTACACTGCCATAAGTTATCACACCTGTAAGGCAGGAGAGATGTGGTCAGATGGCGGAAAAGAAGACAGGAAGTTAGGAGATCCATTAACGAAGATGGACTCTGCCAACTGGAAAATTTGGTGAGAAATTTAAAAGAGGGTCTGTGGTAAGGTAAATTCTAATATATGCATAATTCTTTTAACAGAGCAAAAACAAAGAAAAGTAGTCAAAGTTAGAAAGAAGACAGGCTTTTGACTGACTGAAGAATTAATAGGAGAAAAAAAATCACTTACTTGGGTGTAACTTCTTTGTAATTGTTGATGAGGCGGGGTAGTGAAGAGAAACTCAAGTATTTTACCTCTTAGCCAAAGAAAAAATACTCTATCTACCAAAGGAATCCTTTGAGATGTTGTCACTTGTCATGGCAACCACATATTTCAAAGATTCCATTCTGGAATGGATGTGATTCCTGCCCAGAAAGTACTGACATACCCAAAGGGCTGCTGCTAATGCTCGCCTGTCACTACCGAGGGGGGAAGCTTCTGGTTCCTACCTTACCAACACTGAAAGGTAGTTCTGCAAACCAACCGTCCCGTAGAAGGTGGGCAAAGGGTATGAACAGAAAACTCACAGAACAGGAAAACTGAATGGACAAGAAATATTAAAAGATGCTTACTCTCCCTTGAAGTCTTGGAAATGCAAATCAATGAAATATAATTTCACAATAAATAAGTCAAAATAAAATAACTAAAAATGAGTAAAAATTTAAAAATGGATAAGTTCAAATATTGGTGAAGATAAAAAGAAACTGGAACTTCCTCTTGTCACTGAAGGAAGTATAAATGGATACAGCTACTTTGTAGAGCAATTTGTCAAATTCTAGCAAAATTAAAAACCTACAACCCAGAATTTTCAGTTGTAGGTTGATAGCCTATAGAAACACTTGTAAAATTTGTGCACTAGGAGACATGGAGGACGATGTTCATTGTAGCCTTCTTTTTAATAATAGATTTATTAAGATATAGTTCATGTTCCACAAAATTCTTCCTTTTAAAGGGTATATAGTTCAGTAGTTTTAAGCATACTTACATAGTTGTACAACTATCAGCAATATCTGAGTTTAGGACATTTTCATTAGCCCCCAAAGAAACCCTGTGCTCATTAGCAGTCACTCTCTGTCTCCCTCTTCTCCTAGCACCTGGAGGCCACTGATCTACTTTCTGTCTCCATGGATTTGCTTATTCTGAACGTTTCCTATAAATGCAATCATGCAATATATGGCCTTTTGTGATTGGCTTTATTCACTTTTCATAATGTTTTCAAAATGCATCCATGTCCCAGCATGTATCAGTCCTTCATTCCTTTCTATGGCTGAATAATGCTCCATCGTGTGGATATGCCACTTTTTGTTTATCCCTTCATCAGTTGTACATTTGCATTGTTTCCTGCTTTTGACTATTCTGAATGATGCTGCTGTGAACATCTATGTACAAAGTTTTGTGTGAACACATGTTTTTATTTTTCTTGGGTGTATACCTAGGAGCGGAATTGCTGGTTCATACGCCAACTTTATTTTTAACTTTTTGGGGAACTACCAAACCACCTTCTAAAGTGGTTACACCATTTCATGATTTCATCAGGAATGTATGAGGGTTCCACTTTCCCCACATGTTTGCCAACACTTGATATTGTCTTTTTAAATTGTTTTTTATAGCCGTCCGAGTGGATGTGAAGTGGTATCTCATTGTAATTTTGATTAGTATTTCCCTAATGACTAATAATGTTGAGCATGTTTTTATCTAATAATTAGCCATTTGTATATCTTCTTTGGAGAAATGTCTATTTAAGGTCCTTTGTCCATTTTTAAGTTGGATTATTGGTCTTTTTATTGAGTTGTAAGTAATTTTTTCTATCTTCTGGATACTAGACCTTTATCAGATATATGATTTGCAAATATTTTCTCCCATTCCTTGGAGTCTTAATAATGTCTCTTGAAGCTCAAAAGTTTGTAATTTTAACGAATTCCAATTTATCTATTTTTTCTTTTGTTGTGTGTGCTTTTAATGTAATATCTAAGAAATGATTACCTAAACCAACTTCACAAAGACTTAAACCTGTGTTTTCTTCCAAGAATTTTATAGTTTTAGGTCTTTGATCCAATTTGAGTTAGTATGGGTATATGGTTTGAAGTAGGAGTCTAACTTTATTCTTTTGCATGTGGATATCTAGTTGTCTCAGTACTATTTGTTAAAAAGACTATTATTTCCCCCATTGTATTGTCTTGGTATCCTTGTTGAATATATTGACTAAAATAGTAAGGGTGTATTTTTGGATACAGTTCTATCCCATTGCTCTATATGTCTATCCTACCATCTTGGTTATTGTAGTTTTGTAGTAAGTTTTGAAATCATGAAGTATGAGTCCTCCAACTTTGGTATCTTTTTTCAAGATTGTCTCGGGCATTCTGGGTCCCTTCCATTTCTTACATGCATTTTCAGATCAGCTAGTCAATTTCTACAATAAATACAGCTCAGATTTTGGTAGGAATCTGGATGCCTTTTATTTCTTTTTTTACCTAATTGCCCTGGCTGGAACCTCCATTATAATGTTGACACTTTAGACATAGATAGCAAATTGAGAGAGTTCAGTCTTTTACCACAGTATGCTATCAGCCATGGGCTTTTGGTAGATTCTCTTTATGATGTTGAGGAAGTTCTTTTCTACTCTTAGTTACATGTTTTTATCATGAAAAGGTGTTGTAATGTATCCAGAATTTGAAATATGAGGTACATCCAAAAAAAATAAAAATTAAAAAAAAGTTGAATTAAAAAAAAAGAAAAGGTGTTGAGTTTTGTCAGATTTTTTTCTATGTTTATTAAGGTACTCATAAGATTTTTAAAAATTCTATTAAGATGGTGTTTTGCATTAATTGATTTTTAGATGAAAAGCCAACATTGCATTCATGCAATAAAGTCCACTTGGTCGTGGTTATATAATCCTTTTTATATGTTGCTGGATTCATAATCCTTTTTATATGTTGCTGGATTCAGTTTGCTACTATTTTGCTGAGGATATTTCTGTCTATATTCATAAGAGATATTGGTCTGTAGTTTTCTTTTCTTGTGATATCTTTGTCTGGTTTTGGTATCAGGGTAATGCTGGCCTCATAGAATCCTCTTCCATTTTGTTGGGAGAGTTTGTAAAGGATTGGTGTTGATTCGTCTTTAAACATTTGGTAGAATTCACCAGTAAAGCTATCTGGTCCTGGGATTTTCTTTATAGGAAGGTTTTTGGTTACTAATTTAATCTCTTAACTTGTTAGAGTTCTGTTCAAATGTTTTCTACTTCTTGAGCCACTTTTGATAGTTTGTGTCTCTCTAGAAATCTGTATTTCTTCTATGCTGATTTGTTGACATACAATTGTTCAGAGCATTCTCTTATAATCCTTTCTATTTCTGTAAGATTGGTTGTAATGTTCTCTCATTCCTGATTTTAGTCATTTGAGTCTTCTCCCTTTTTTCTTGGACATTATAACAGAAGGTTTGTCAATTTTGCTATTTTTTCAAAGAACGAAACTTTGGTCTCAATTAATTTCTCTTTTTTTCCTAATCTCTATTTCATCCACGTTCACACTAATCTTTATTGTTTCTTTTTTTCTGCTAGCTTTGGATTAGTTCGCTTTTCTTTTTCTAATTTTTAAAGTGGAAAGTTTGGTTATTGATTTGAGATCTCTCTCCTTTCTTTTTTTTTTAAAAATTGGCACCTGAGCTAACATTTGTTGCCAGTCTTCTTTTTTTTTCCCCTTCTTCTTTTCCCCAAAGCACCCCAGTACACAGTTGTATATTCTAGTTGTGAGTGCCTCTGGTTGTGCTGTGGGGCCACCACCTCAACATGGCTCAATGAGTGGCGCTACGTCTGCGCCTAGGCAGAGAACTGGTAAAACCCTGAGCTGCCGAGACGGACTGTGCGAACTTAACCACTCTGCCACAGCGCCAGCTCCTCTTCTTTCTTAACATAGATATTTACTGCTATAAATTTAGCTGCATCCTATAACTTTTGCTCTATGCTATGTTTTTGTTTTTATTCATCTCAAAGTATTTTCTAATTTCCTTTTTGATTTCTTCTTTGACCTATTAGTTACCTAGGAACGTACTGTTTAATTTTTGCATGTTTGTGCATTTTCCAAATTTCCTTCTGTTAATCTTATTCCATCATAAATGGATAAACTAGTTTGCATTGTTTCAATTCTTTTAAATATATTCTAGCTTGTTTTATGGCTTTATGTGGTCTATCTTGGAGAAAGTTCCGTGTGCACTTGAGAAGAATGTGAATTCTGCTTTGTTAGGTGAGTGTTCTATAGCTGTCTCTTAGGTCCAGTTGGTGTATAGTGTCATTGAAGTCTTTTATTTTCTAGTTAATTTTCTGACATTGTCCTATCAATTGTTCTGACAATTGTTAATTATAAAAAGTGGATTATGGAAGTCTCCAACAATTGTTGTTGAATTTTATTTCTCCCTCCTATTCTGTCAGCTTTTGTTTCATGTATTTCCAGGCTCTTTGGTTAGGTGCATGCATGTATATAATTGTTATGTCTTCCTGATGGATTGACTCTTTTATCATTATAAAATATCCTTCTTATCTCTGGTAATAATTTTAGTCTTAAAGTTTATTTTTGTCTGCTATTATTAGAGCCACTTCATCTCTCTTTTGGTTATGCCATTTGAACGACATATCTTTTCTCATCCGTTTACTTTTAATTTATTTGTATGTTTAAATTTAAAGTATATCCCAGCAAATATTTGGATCATTTTTCTTACCCGTTCTGCCTGTTTCTAACTTTTGATTGAAGTGCTTGTTCCATTTATGTTTGATTATTGATGTAGCAGGAATTACATCTACCATTTTGCTATTTGTTTTATATATGTCTCATGCTTTTTTTGTTTCTCTGTTTCTCTATTTCTGCTAAAATTGTTAATCAAGTAGAAATTTTCTAGTGTATCATTTTAATTTTCTTTTTGTTTCTTTTACTATATATTTTTAAATTATTTTGTTAATGCAGTCTTAGAGATTATAATTAAAGCTTTAGCCTAAAACAATGTAGTTTGAAGAAATATTAGTTTAACTTCAATAGTATACAAAAACTTTGTTCCAATATAGCTCATTCCCTCCCTTTTCCTATGTGCTATTATTGTCATAGATATTATACATGTACATATAACGATATATATACATAGACACATTTTTACGTTATCATCTCATCAACTCAGTTTTATAATTATTGCCGTATGCAGTCGCCTTTTAAATCTTCTAGGCAAATACAACAAAAATACATTTCTATTGCCTTTTATATTTAGTTACATAGTTAACATTACTGGTGTTCTCTCTTTGTATAGATTTTACTGTCTAATACCCTATTATTTCAGCCTGAAGCAATATTTTTAGTAGTTACTGTAGGGCAGATATGCTAGCAAAAAATTCCCTCATTTTTGTTTATCTTGGAATATCTATGATTTAATTTTTCCTTAATTTTTTAAGCATAGTTTTGCCAGATGCAGAAAACTTGGTTGACAATCTTTTTTTTCTCCCAGCCCTTGAATATTTCATCCCACTACTTTCCAGCCTCCATGGTTTCTGATGATGAATCAGCTGTTAATCTTACTGACAATATCTCGTACACAGTAAGTTGCTTTTCACCTGCCACTTTTAAGATTTTCTTTGTTGTTTTGGCTTTAGACATACTACTGAAGTAGTTTAGCTTTTTGGATGTGTAGGTTAATTTTTCTAATCAAAGTTTGGAAGTTTTTGGCCACTATTTCTGTAAATATTATTTCTACTCTTTCTCTCCTCTCCTTCTGTGACTCCTATGAGGCATATGTTGGTATACTTGATCCCATCTGACAAATCCTTGAGGCTCTGGGGTTTTTTCTTCATTCTTTCTTATTTCTATTCTTTAGACTGGATAACATCAATTGACCTGTGGTTAAGTTTGCTGATTTTTCCTTCTGCTAATCAAATCTGCTGTTAATCTCCTTTAGTAAATTTTTTATTTCATTTATTCTTTTACTCCAGAATTTCTACTTGGTTATGTCATATAATTATCTTTTTTTTATATTCTCTATTTGATGATGGAGATATTGTTTTTGTGCTTTCCTTTAGTTCTTTAAAGACATGGTTTCCTTTAGTTCTTTGACTGTATTTATAATAGTTCATTAAAAATCTTTGTCTAGTGAGTCCAGCATCTGGTTTCCTCAGGGAGAGTTTCTATTCATTGTTTTATCTTCCTGTATATGGGTTATATTTTTCTTTTTCTTTGGGTGTGTCATAATTTTCATTAAAATCTGGATATTTTAAATAATATAATCTGGTAGCTCTGGAGAAATATTCCCCCTTTTCTCAGAGTTTGTTTTATGCTTCTTGTTGCTGTAGTTGCAGTTTTTATTTTTTGAATGTAGTGACTTTCCTGGACTAAATCTGTAAAATCTGTATTCTTTGTCATATGTGGCCCCTGAATTTTCTGCTCAGTTAGCTTAGAAGTCAATTAATGATTGTATAGATTTTCTTAAAGGCTTTGAACCAATAAGTCTGCCAGCCTTTGCCAATGGGCTTTGTGTGTCTGTGTTTTGGAACGCCTTGGACACTCCTAGCAGTTTACAACACTAACTTAGCCTTTGCTTCCTAATTGAAAAGAGCCTACAGTTGGCCAGAGGTGAGAGATTAGAGCCTTTTTAGGTCTTTCCTTGGTGTGTGCAGATCCCTGCACATGTACATGCCTTCTAGATTTCCAGGAATATGTCTCAGCTTTCAAGGCCCCCTATGGACATCTCATTCCCCAAATTTCTCTTTTATGTTTTTTGGTCAGCTTCTTGTTTACCCCAAATGGTATTGCCACCACAGGCAGATTGCAGTGTTAAACAATCGCCACCAATTGGTTTTGACTAATGCTTTAGGAATAAATGTGTTTGCACTGAAAGACCTCTGAGTCAGGTAAAATAAAGACAAATCTTGTGAATGGTACTTTTCCAGGGAGATAACAAATAAGGCAAATGGTGATGGTTCCCTGGAGGATATTGAGGAAACTACAAACCTATTCTGCCCTCTGTAGCAGCGGGTAGGCTGCTGGTTTTCACAGCTACAATGGTTTTAAAGTTGTTGTTTTCTGCCATTTTTCTTGAATAAACACTTCGTAGATGATTGCAATCTTTTGATTAATTCCTCGACTTCTGAAAAAGTTGACTTTGACAATTTTGCCAGTGTTATTGCTTTTATAGAGGAACAGATTTTTAGGGGTCCTTACTTCACCATTACAAGTACTCATGCACTATTGTTTTTGATAGGAAAAAAAATCAGAAAAAATTTTCTTAAAGTAAGAAAATGGACAAATAAATTGTAATCTCTTCATTCAGTGGAACTCAGCAGTTAAAATAACGGACTAAGATTAAATATCTAAACATGGATAACTATAAAAAACCAAATTGTAGAATGATACCTACAGTAGAATATTTATATAATTAAAACGCACACTGAATAATATTTTTGATGGACACGTATATGGAGAGCAAGTTATTTTTATAAAACATGGGCTGGAGGATAAATACCATATGCATGATAGTGATAGAGAATAGGATTGGAATGAAGGAAAAAATAAGGTCAATTTTTTTCCATGATATTTTCTTTATTTTGTTAAGGAAAATCTGGACACACGAGTATTTGCTATATTATTTTGTGTGCTTCTCTTTATTTAAAACTTAGGAAGAAAGAAGAAGAAAATCACAGTAGATTAGATTCTTCTGTTCTCTGGGAATTCACTTGACTCTGTCCAATTTTTCATAATCTATGGGTGGTGAGAAAACAAAAGAGTAAGATAAACAACCACCGAACCACAACTGGGTCTGTTATAAAATGATTTTGAAATGGCTTTCAAATCTGGAATGTCGAATTCTGGTTTTCATTTTCCTTTTAAATAATCACAAGTTCAAACCAGACAGAAAAATGTGAACCATTGGCTTCCTCCTATCTAAAAATCTCCACAGTATGTCTCTGCTGCAGCCAGGGAAAAGAAACTTTTGACATTGTTTCTCTCCTTTTTCCTGCAGCGTTGGTTTGTAAAACTTGCACAGCTTCCAAAGGAGGGGAAGAGAGTTGCTTTACAATTACAACCATTTGAAAAAACAGAGCACCTGTCTTCCAGAGGTATTTGACATCCTATCAATGATGTGGAAGCACAAATATCAGTTCTTCTTTACAAATAGGAAGTGGGAGAATCTGAATCACCACGGCACAAAGTCATTTTTCTCACATGACTATTTGACAAGCGTACAGATGAAAAACAAACCCAAGCCTGGCCCCTCTTGGTCTATTCCTCAGCCAGAGAAAGTTTCAAAGCCCAACAGTGTTCTCATTATAACATGGAACCACTAGATGTCACTAAAGATAAAAATTTGAAGGTATTAGCGCTTATAAATAGGAAGCAGAAAAGGAGAGTGAAATTCACCATGTTGATGGAAAGAACTGAAATTTCCACCTTTAGGTCACACAATGGAAAGTGACCTCCCTCCAGCCCAATACCCCCCAAAAATGGTTTCAGACCCTGTATGCCATATCTGTATAGTATGGACCCATTTGGGTTGACATCAGGTTTCAACAGAAAAATAACAAAATGAGCTCACAAAACTCGAGAAGTATGTTATAGTGATGACTTTGTTAATCAAATACGGTTAAAATTCTCAGCCTCAAGTGGTGGAGTCCTTCCTAGGAATTTTGTCTAAAATTTCTGCAGCTGACCCCGGGTGGTAGTGAGACAGATAATTGAAGTTCTCTTTAGAAAGGAGAATTGAGATAAGTCTTTTTTCAAAACCGTTTCTACTGTTTGCTGTGATTTCTTTCCCCTTTCTATGTCTTTATTCTGAACACCATAACTGGCAAATAGCATGAATTCAATGTGTATTTGTTTAATGAACAGTATGAATCAAGGAAAGGAAACCAACATTTATTTAGTGCCTCTCTATGCCTTGCTCTCTACTGCTTTCTTACATTCCTTTTTTACATAATCTTCACAAAAAACCCTGTGAAGTAGTTATTGTAATCATTGCTTTCTACAAGTAATACTCATGAGATATAATCACAAGTGATCTTTGCTTTTATTTCTCATTATCCATTTGAACTTCATTCAGTAGGAAAGCTCTTTCCCCGCTCCTGGATAAAGACCTCAGGTACACCCATGACATTGCCGATCTCTTGATGCTGCTAAAAAGTCCTATAATCACTTTAAGTAGCAGAATGATCACAATTTAATCATTAAACCCATTGAATTTCATATAATAACACAACCTAATTCACTCAAAACTAAAATTTCTCCTCTTCCAAGCTAGAGCTGCTCTCCAGAAGGAGGTAAAGTATATTTCTTCTCTTTTTCTTACTCAGCTCCTCCCCAACTCCCTAACTTGGGTTGAAGAGGATGGGAAGGAAGGAGAGATGAGGAGGGCGGTAAAGTTTCTTTCTGTAAGTGGTGCTTTTGAGATATTCAGATGTCCCTATGGAAACATTTGACTGCACTTCCCAAGATGCAAGCTAAGAATTTTCTTTTGGCTGGCCATTTTCCCTCAGTTTTTCATATATTTTTATTTTCTTTAATGTACTATTAAAATTTTCTTTCATATAGTTTATTTTCTTTAATATGCTTTTTTCAATTTATTAAATAAACTGTGGCATGTTCTCCTTCGTCTGTGATAATAGAATTCCCAATTTTTAGCTGAGTACATGGCTGCACTTCCAGCCTCCCTTACCATGGTCCACGTGCAAATTCTTGGAAGCGTCCTTCAAGCGAGAGGCTTGTTTTGCTTTCTCTTTCCTCTTTTCTGCTGCCTGCTGCAAGGACATAATTGCAGACTGGACTAGGAGGTGGAAGCCCTGTGCTGCGGGCCTTGATAACCACAGAGCTGACTTGCCAGCCTTGCACAGCCTGCCTCTGGCCTTGAGCATAAACAAAGATAAATAAACTTCTTATCTACTCTGTTAAGCTTTTATTACTTGCAGACAAACATGATCCTAACTGATGGAAACATGCAACTAAATGTGATTTAATTTTAGGGAAGCTTTTGCAATAAATAAAGTTAAGATTAGAAAAATAGTCTTTACTCCTGCATCCTGATGTTTATCACCTTGCATATACAATACTGGATGAGGTTCCGGAAGAGAAGAGCACCAAGGTGAAATAGGGAGGTCCTGCCCACAAGAAGTCGCTCGCATCCCCTTCTTGTCCTCCCGGCACAGTCCATTGGATCTATATCCTGTGGCTGATTCCCTCTCCAGCGTTTCACAGCTGCTGCTTCTCTATTCTCTGAGGTTGCAAACTGTTTTGTTCTTATTAAGTTCCAAGAATATCTATTGACATAAGGGAAAATAAATAAATAAACAAATAAACTTACCACCGTTTCCTCATGCTTAACTGCCTAGAATTCTATTTCTCTTAGATAAATTGACTTTATTGTAACGTGTTATGAAAGTTGTAACAGGAAATCAGGGTTTTCTTTTTTTTTTCCCCTTAGAACAGTCAATTCTCTGTCACTTTCTGAGGCGATTAATGAACATTTCCCTGTGTGACTTCCAGTTTAACCCTATGTGCTCCATGAACCAAAGATTGCATAGTCCCTGCCTTCTTTTGCAAATTCACGTTGTGCATTCTTCACCCCGAGGTGAAGAAATGTATTTAACTTTAACTTAACATTTTCCCATCTCATTTGATTATGGGACCCTTTTATCCTATAGCACCTATTAACATGTGTGAGCAGAGCACCCTCTGCATCGTGGGGTGTCACAGTGAGCTCCTTGTAATTCCTGTGGCAATCACCTATGAGTTTGATCACTGATATTGAATAATGACAGTCTTTTCTTAATTTGCAGATAAAAGTTAGGCTTTTGGAGAGAATTTCCTTAATTTAAAGTTATTGTCATAAATTTTGCTTAAATCTTTAGTGCCAGTTATTATCTGCTTTACAAAATAAATGAGCAAGTGGGGCTGGTCCCGTGGCCGAGTGGTTAAGTTCGCGCGCTCCGCTGCAGGCGGCCCAGTGTTTCGTTGGTTCGAATCCTGGGCGTGGACATGGCATTGCTCATCAGACCGCGCTGAGGCAGCGTCCCACATGCCACAACGAAGAATATACAACTATGTACCGGGGGGCTTTGGGGAGAAAAAGGAAATAATAAAATCTTTAAAAAAAAAAAATGAGCAAGTAACAAGCATATAATACCGGAAAAAAATTTAAAACACCAATAATACTTAGATTTATGGCTTATTTTTCTAAAGTAACAGTTTCCATGGCTGTGATTTCACATTACCCATATATGGCATCATCAATTTGCTAGAAAATTGTCTATCTTACAATAAAATACATTCTGACAGTATTTCATGGTTAATCTCAAAGTAGAGCTGAGGAACTAAGACCCGTCACTCTCTGGATTCAATAGTGGACGCTTGAAGGAGCAGGAAGGCATGGTGGAGGGCCTGGGGAGGGAAAGGAGGAGAGGGAGAGGAGGCATTGCTTTCTTTCTAATGAAAACTTGAAGAAGCCCACATTTCCCATGTTATAAGCCATCCCAAAGAAACTTTCTTGTTTTCTCCTCCTGTGTTCCCCCTTTCTCTCTTTACTTTCCTCTTTTCATAATGTATCAAAATGGAAAGGATTTGGTTAGGATGAGCAGAAACCATTCTGAGTCTTCTATTACCTAACATTTAATTATAGAAATGGTAAATATATGGAGCTAAAAAAAATCCCAAATGGTAAACAATATCTAACGGAAAAACCAACTGGAAAGCAGGATGTTGGCTCCATCCCCGGCATGTGCCTTATAGTTTAGTTCCATTGTATTTGATTTTTCATTTACTTATCTTTAAACTTTCCTTTTATTTAGTAGGGAAATTTCTTTAAAACTACAACTATAATTAACTATGCCTAGTTTAAAAAGAAAATTTCCCACCTTCACAGTAAAGAAAATCCCCCAAACGATAAGCCTTAATTTTTTATGGTTCCTTTCTGGAGATGTGGAAATTTGGCAGGGGGGTGTGGGGAGGCTGGTTATATTGCACTTTTATTTAGACATGGTAATTCTTAGGACAGATTACTGAATTCAGGATGAAATTTTTATGATGGGAAATGGGGAAAAAAAGATGGCCATATACAATTATAATACACAATCTACTACATTCTATTTTATGGTAAATTTGAGAATTGTTGCAAGAGACTCAAGATTCTCCCTTGGCAGCATTTATGAAAAATCTCTAATAATCTTAGGACTCTACCACCCAGTTTTTATTTTTAAAATAGTCTCATATAACACATAGAGCACAAGAACATTGTATACTACCTTCTCTGGCCTTTCACACTACCAAATTGCCGAAGTAGAGAGAAAACACAGAAAAGCATCTACATTCAATAAAAGCAAACAAACAAAAATCTCTCAAAAATTATGATCTAGTCAAACACCTAGAATTCTTTTTCAAAGCATTTAATAGAATGAAAACATTAAAGAATACTTGATGGGATTATGACGTATAAAAACTGAGAGACTGAAGATTCATCAGTGAAAAAAAGAACAGCATTCTTGCCCTCACAGTTACCCGCTGGTGTGGGGAGACAGACAATAAACAAGTAAATAAATACAAACTGTAGTATGTCTTATGTTTGTAAGTGCTACAAAGAAAAACAAGGTAGAGAAAGGGAAAGAGATTTAGGGCATAAGAGAGATGTGAGTGTAGTCTGCAATTTTAAATAGCATGGATACCAAATGCTTCAGCAAGATCATAACATTTAGTCAAAGAACTAAAGAAAGTGAGAATGAGAGCTATGTGTCTACCTGGGGGGAGGCCGTTCCAAGTAGAGGGAACAGCAGGTGTACAGGCTCTGAGGCCAGGGCATGCTTGGACTTCTCAAAGGAACACTGTAATTGGACATAAGTGAGACAGGGGTCGAGGATTAGGAGAGGAGGTGAGAAGGGGACCTCAAAGACTGGTATGGGCAGCTCACTGTTACTATGCATGAGAAGGGAAGCCATTGGAGGCTTTGGGCAGGGGAAGGACCAGAGCTGACATATCATTCTGATGCTGTTTTGAGAATAGTCTGAAATTGACCTAATGCAGAAGTACACAGACCAGTTAAGAGGTGGTGGTAATAATTCAAGCAAGAGGTGATGGTGCTGGACTAGAGTGGAAGCAGTGCAGGTAGGAACAGCAGTCAGATTCTGACTCTTTTCAAAGTGGGGCTTCTGGATTAGGTAATGGACTGGATGTGGAGATGTGAGAGAAAGAGAGAAGTCATGAACAAGCAGAAGGGTGGGCACTCCGTTCTGCAAGACAGGAAAGCCTGTGGGGGGAGCAGGGATGGTGTAGAAGACAAGGAGTTTAATTTTCATATGTTAACTATGCAGATGTTCCAGCAGAGATACTGAGCAGACAATCAGATATGAGAAAGCAGTTTATCAGATAAGATGGATCACAAGGCCCTGGAGGAGGTACGGGTTGGTCAACAAAGAGTGCAGACAAGACCAGTTATTCGTAGGGGAGAATCAGTTTAGAGCTTAAACTCACACAGTACAGCAAAAGTAACTCAAGTTGGAAGGAAAAAGTAAATGTTAAAAAAAAATAGCAGTAGAAAATATAAGTA